CTTCCTGACTGCATCCCCACGTTGGCAGCCCATGTTCATCTTGGAGTCTATAATGACTCCAAGATCCTTTTCTGCCTCTGTGCTGATGAGAAGGGAGTTCCCCAGCCTGCATTTATGCTGCTGGTTTTTTCTCCCTAGGTGCAATACCCTGCACTTGTCAGTATTGAATCCCATACTGTTCTCATCCGCCCACCCCTGTAACCTGTGGGTTGTTTGACAATGGTCAGCTGAGGCCATTGATTGCATATTCCATGGCTAAGTGTACTTGGCTATAGCTCAGGATTGGACCCCCATATCCAGAGAGGGAGGCGAGATTATTACAAACAACCCCAACTGCCAGCTAAGACCGGCTAGGAAAAAACACTGTATGGGGGCAGTTTATGTTATGAGTTACTTTATTTTATTGTAGAGCTTTTGCCATCTTTTTCTGAAACAACTAGAACTGGTTGCTCTCTAGGTACAAGGCTAGATAGGCCATTCAATTAATTCAGTCTGACAAATCCAATAATATTATATTTTAGCCTGGAAAGCTGGTTAAACAATATCAGAAAATATAGAATGGTTCCCAAAAGGAATGGCTCCATTTCTGAAGTATTGGCTCAAAATTCTGGTATGACAATATACTTAATCTCTAGATAGGCTATGCTGAGTGCATCTACATGTACAATCAATGTATTGAAAGCTTATTGAGTAGTAAAATATTGCACAGTAAGTGTTCCCTGGGAGTGCACCTACACGTGCGCCCATCAGGAGCAAGTTTGCTCTCAACAGGAGCAGCTCAGAGCACAGCAAATCCTGAGGCTGACCTCAGGCTAATCCTGAAGACAGGCCTGGGCTCCAGGGGGCGGAAGGAGCTGTCCCACCTCTGGAGCAGATGCCCCCCCACCCTACATCCCTGCCTGGGCAGCTGCCTGCTATCAGGGCAAAGGACAATGTCCCAGCCCTGTCTCTGATTGGCTGACTGGAGCAAGGGCTGAGAAGCAGGTAGCTGCCTGGGGGAGGGGTCAGTTCTCCCTCCCCTTGCTGCCTGGGTTGACTGGGAGCAATTTGACCCTGGTCAGCTATGTACCTGTGCATTACTGCACATTAGTTAATGCGTAATAAATCTACTACCCGAGGTAAAAGAATGCATTAGCCTATTTCAGGGTTTTTCAGCCTCTTTGGATCCATGTACCCCCAGCGGCTGGACACAGTGAAGCATACCTCTGGCAGCCAGATGTGGGGTAGGGAGAGGGAGGCGTTGCGCAGCTGCTGCATATCAGCTTTCACCCCTCTGCATCTGGCCGGGCTGGCGGCGCCTGTGCAGCAGCACGGAATGGTGCATGGCGGCGCTCTGTCCCCACCCGCCCACGTGTACCCCCTAGGGCCTTTTAATGCATAGTAGCAGCTGTACATGATTACATAGTGACATTTTACTATGTAGCAGATTAGTCTACTGTGCAGTAAAGCATCTCATGTAGATGGACCTGCATGTAACTGGGCAAATGCCTTAACCTCTCTACACTTCAGTTCTCTCACCTGCAAAATAAGTATAATATTTACATATATTTTGCAATGGTTTTATAAGACTAAGGGCTTGTCAACTTGTGGACTCACAAGAAATATGATCTGAATTAACTTTTAAAGTAGATTAGTTAAACAGCATTAAATATCTGCATGGAAAATCTCATTCAGAATTAAAGTAGTCTTAATTCAATTTAGTTTACTTCATTTCTATAGAGAATCAAGCTAAATCAAGTTAACACCACTTTAATTCTAAAGTAGTCTATACAGAGCTCTAATAAAGTTTAATCAATCCATTTTAGAATTCTCACCTTTAATTTGGATTAAATTTCTTGAGGTTTCGTGTGTAGACAAGCCCTAAACTCATTACTATTTGAAAAGTGCTCTGAGAGGCTCAAATGCTATAGAGCTATATATTATTTTTTTATTCTAATTAATGTAACAAATTAAGATTTCTGCAGACATTGTTAAAGAGTATTTTCTACTCCATCTATCAGAGAGAAATCCTAGACAAGAGTTATACAGTCAACTGGAATGTATTCTGCATTAGCGAAAAGCTTTTGTCAAATCTGACCTGTGGAAGGGTGGTTAGAGTAGTGTAGTAAGAACTCAGAGAGACCCAGACCCGGGAAAAGTTCCCAGGAAAGAGTTGGGGGAGAGAGGAAAGGCTGCATGGCTAGAAGCTGCAGCATCAAGCCATGATACACTCTCAGGGTCTGGGAAAGACCTCAGGGTTTGAGTGAACCCTTTGTTTATGTATTTGCTTGGTTGCTGATTGAGGGTTTAAGTTGTGTGCTATGGTGCAAGTTTGCCCATGAAAGTAAAGATTATGTTACGTGAACTAACAATCCACTACAATACTGCATATCCCGCAAGGCAGTAGCAGGACCCAAACCCTCTGACATTTCCTAATGACAACACCAGTTCCCCAAGTTCATTAAGCAGATTTGAGGAAAGCCTGAAATGCCTGAATAGACAATAATATTCTGAAAACAGGATAGAAAATGCATGGTCTAATCACAGTAGATGGCATTTTCAGTATGACGACTCAGAATAGGTGCATTGAATGTGACTGAGTCATTGGGCCACAATATATTTTTCCACTGCAATCCACCTTGTCTTGTGAACAAGAAATAAATGTTAGGAGCTTTGGGAGTAAACAGAGGTCACTACCCTGTTAGGTGCTCACCTGCCAAAGAGACTCGTTTGTCTGGAAGATGCTCCCCTTCTTTCAGGTGACTGAACTTGTCAATGAATTCACAAAGTGTAATGTTTGTTAGGAATTTGTGTGGGTAAGGATGCTTCCCTTTTTCTTTCAGTTGTATGATGGCATCACTTCGAATCTGATGGTATTGCTGTAGGAGAGATTTGGACAGAATGAAGGCATACATATTAAATACACTCTATAGGTACATATTCTTATTCTACTATATACGCTTAAGTATGAACTCTTATTATAGATGGGGCTGGCAAAACTGCCTCTTATCAGTTACAAAACCTTGTTTCATATTACTTATAACCAGGGATCCTAGTCTTCCATGCGGAAAAAACCAGAAAATCTCTATCTAAAAGACACAGTAATCTGTGTTTTTCCACAACCTGCCCAAAGTGAGACAGCATCCCATAGCAAGCAGGACCACTGTTCTCTTATTTTTGCTGCAGTTTTTGCCTCTCAATCAATCAGCAGCAGGGTAGGGGGGTGAAGGGGAGGAGGAGAGCATGTTGCTGATTGGCTGATGTGCAACAACTGTGGCAAAAATAAGAGCAGAAATAGTGCTGCTTGCCACAAGACATTACTATGCTTTCAGTAGGTCATGGAAAAAATATAGATTCCACAGTTTTCCACAGCAAATGGGAAACTAGGATCATTACATAACATTTGTAAATTTTAATCTTTTAAGATGAAATTTTCCATATGCAGTATCTTTCTCAGGCAGAATTTTACTTCAGCCAAAATAGTTCGTCCCTTTCACGAAATAAGCCTAAGCAAAACAAAAACATGAGTTTTTTGTTATCCAAGTTAAATTCTGTCAATCTTTTCTTTGAACAGCTCTTGTACCACGATACCTTGAAGCAAACACTTGGAATTTAGCTTTTGTAGCAGTGTGTGGCTTTCACTGTCCCTGTGAAAATTCACCCAATGTATAAGTCACTGAAAAATCATGGTTTGCCTATAATCATTAGCGTCTTCTTTGCATTTAGCTGCTAAACTAACTGAAAATTCTGGCCAAACTGAGCATGCTTCAGCTTGGGGTTGAGCAGGAACTTCCCCTGCAGTTATAGCTCTGAGCAGTCATGCAGTTAGCCCATACCCATGTATCTCAACTATGAGCACAGAATTTCTCTCTCCCATGTTCTCAGTGTCCCCACTGATGGGCCCAAACAGTATGGGATAAGAAGCTGCCTGATCTGAGTGAGTGGTATGCAAGAAAACTCAGACTGAAAGCTAAGGTAAAAAACTGAACAGGGTGGGATGGTAGGTGGGCAAGGCAATAAGACCAGATGCAGAGCTTCAGGGCAGAGGTAATACTAGGACTGGTTGTTCAGGTGACCAGAACTAAGAAAGAGTGAGGAGAGATGGGAGACAAGTATCTAGGAGGGGAAGTGAGCCTTCCAGGACAAAGATGGTGAGATAAGAAGCAGAAGAAGGGAAACTTGGCAATTGTAAAAGGGGTATAGGGAGAGAAATATTAATTGGAAACGTGGGGAGAAAATCCCTGGGTAGCTAGAGTGACTAGAGGCTATGGAGTATGAAAATGACTGGAGGCAAAGAAAGGGGAAACAGAGAACAAGTGACCAAGGAAGCTGGGATTGTGAGTGTAGAGAGGCTGGCTAGACATAGATGTGCTGAATGAAGCTAATCAGCTGTACTACAATGTTTTGTAGCACAGCTGATCCACCACACTGGGTGAAAAAGTTATCCCTTGTCTTGCCCTTGATGGTGCAGGATGAGGGGTGATATGATCTCGAGACACCTTTGGGTTTGCAGGGAAAGCCCTGATTTACCTTCTCAGCCAGGCCTATCCCCCGTGATTGCAGGAGCAAGTCTGGCTGAGTGGGACAGGCCCACTTTCCCCACTTATGAACAGGCACCCTGAGCTTCTCGCAGATGCCTGTCTGTAAGCAGAAAAAGTGGGCAAATGCTCTGGGGTGTGAGAGGTGCCCAAGCCCCCAAAGCACCTGCTCAGAGTAACTCAAGAGTGGAAGCCGTTTAGGCTGCCAATACTTTCCTGCCATAGAGCTAATAGACATCCACCATAATGAAACAGCAGAGTTTATCACTACCTTTTGTCATGCCACTGATGTTCCTTTCATGTGGCACAACAAAGGGTAGCAATGTCTATTTGCTTACCATAAAAGTTTTTATGGTGGCACAAATGAAATGTCAGGCAATGTCTATTTCCACTTGCTGAGGCAAGAGACAGAAAATCCATAGGGGTGAGATTAGGACTTGCACTCAGCAAGGAGAAGGGAACCAAAATGAGGAACTGTAAGTGAGGGGGAAAGAAGTCTGAGAAAAGATAGGACAAGGGATCATGCTTTGTGGAAAGGGAAGGGGAACAGGGAGGCAGAAATTTGTACCCGCTAGAGCATATTCCCCTTCAAAACCTAAAATGAAACCACCCTCTCACAGAGACTTGCAAGGCAAGCCATACAAGGAAAGGCTGAGGGACTTGGGCCTCTTCAGCCTAAAAATGAGAAAGCTGAGAGGGGACTTGGTAGCAACTTGCCACCACATCAGGGGAATGCATCAAGGGCTCGGCAAACAACTGTTCACCAGGGCACCCTTGGAGAAAACCAGGAGTAATGGCCACAAACTCCTAGAAGACCATTTCAGGCTTAATACTAGGAAAAACTTCTTCACAGTTAGGGTGTCCAGACTGTGGAA